GCACGAATGCTCCATAAAGTATAACACTTCCTAAGCCTACAACATTACCTCACCATTTCCCATTGGCATTACACCAATTACCAAAACATCCCTAAAAACATTTAACTAAAGTATATCTACTCCCCTTGCCTAAATTATTCGCTTCCCTAATATTTCCTAAGTTAACATTATATTGTAACAGACCGCGATTGCAAATCAGCCCAACACTTTCAGTAACTAAACAAAATACCCCTTTAACAAAGTTCATCGATTCCGTCCTTGATATTTTGGGGATAAATACATATTATGAAGCGGACGAATAGAGATTTCTTTTAACAGTTATTACTGCGGATATTTTATTACCAAACTATCTTAAGTCGGTACTTTTTCCCATGTAATATGTGTATATGCTCTGTTTATGAAACATTGCTTGCATAGTTTCACAGGTGTCTTACAAGGAAGGTATCCCAGGTCGATCTCTCCGATTTCATTTCTTTTATAATATGTTATAGTAGACTAAAAACTAGGCGACACGTATTTTTTTTTATCTACCATTAAGCACTTTAAGGGGGTGAAACCACCAGCCAAAGTAAGGCCTGTGAGGGGTGGCTCACCCCTTAATTCTTTTTCTTAATTGAGAAAATTATATTTTTCATTTCTTGTTATGAGAAAGCTTTCCCAGGTGGATTGGTTAAAAAATATTATGTTCTTGTGGGTGAAATTGCCAACTCGCCCGTTGACATGCCTTACTTTGAATGGTGGTTTCACCCCCTTAAAGTGCTTAATGGCAGATCAAAAAAAATACGTGTCGCTTAGTTTTTAGTCTACTATAACATATTATAAAAGAAATGAAATCGGAGAGATCGAACTGGGATACCTTCTTTGTTAGTTGTCGAGGCGACGACTCGTTTTGCGTTCATTATTGTTTCCGCGAGAGTCACCCGTTCATCTTAATATAAGGATTCTGGGAGAGGGAATAAGGGATGAAGGTCGCGGATGGAATGCCTTGGAATAATGCATTCGAAACGAGCCTAAACCGGGCGGATCCACTCTTCCATCGCATCGCGAGAGGCTTCTCTTTCCCCCTCGTTCTTTTTAAGAATTCTATCTGAAAGGTCGATTCTGAATGATCGGCAGGGAGGAATCCGCGGCTTTGAGACGGTTATGGCTCGACGAGAATGGAACCGATGGAGACGGGACTCGAAATCGATAACTATACTTTCTTCCTCACTGACGGGTTTTGTTTCCTTTGAGAAAGTCAAAGGACGATGGTTGATCGGATCAGATGCCCACGCTTAACATCGCCTCTTTTATTAGATACGGCACTTTCTATACAGTCAAAAAATTAAATTCGACGAAGGAAAAGATCAGTAAATATGTACGTTCGACCGACAGTATATCTTAACGAATTTCATTTGTCTGGAGACAAAGAACTGATACACTAGTAAGTCTTAAACATTGAAACTATCTTACACAAGCCATAAGCGTCGTAATTCTAAATGAATCACTTTTTGAAAATCCTTTGTAACGTAAATAACGCAACGCGTCATTTGGCTTATTTACAATACACTTTTCGCACGGTTTAAATCATTAAGTAAGTAAATCACGTTGATCGGAGGTTAGTCGATTCTAGATATCTAAAGGGTGAAAATCATCCGTACTGTTCTTTTACAATTTTTACTGGATGATTTCTCGTATCGCATTTCGAAACAGCGACGTACATACGTAATCCGCGCCGAAAGCGCAGAACCTGGGGTCATCCATCGCGTTTAGTCGCAGCGGTCAAATTGACATGTCGGGAATAACGGCCACATGTTACGCGTTATTGGACTCGCACAGCGTCGCCCACGGCACTTTACGATTGGCAATAGGCTGCCGGAGTTTCGAGCAAATCGGCGTTGATCGATCGAGCCGATTCGCCACATTCGACGGCCGAATTGTTCGGCAGGTTGGTACTTAACTTCCAGCCGATTAAATCATTAACGTGTTGGCAAAGTAGACACGAACACGAACGTTCTATGCGCGTACACACATGTGTGTGATTGCTTAACGACTGACCTGAGCACCAATTAGTATACATAGGCTATTCTTTTTATGCCTGTTTTAATTGAATTCAATTTACTTTCCGTTACCATGTACAGGTCTGGGGTGAGGTGGAATCTGTAAGGAAGAACGAGTTAATGCTTTAATGGAAAAATTCGTTTCAGATCCAAAAGCAAATCGATTAATCAATATCTTCTGCTCGGTATGACGTATATGTAGTCGTCAAATGAGAAAGTTGTTCATATTTAAACAAAGTAATTATATTTGCGAGAGAATTATCTGATTAAGGATGTCACACTTCTAAGTACGTTGTAATTGAGTTGTAGGTTCTCAATTCTTTCAAAGAGCCTTTTCTTGAAAGTGAATTAAATTTTTTCTCATATAGGGGCATTTACTTTTAGTAAGGAAGTATTATTTTGTAATTATTTACTTACAAATTTTATATCTCTAATTAGCTCAATTTAATTGTATTGGTTAATAGAAATTATTTGTGATACATCGAATAAGTTTTTCACGTTCGTGAATGTTTTTATCTTATCTCCTACGATTTTGATCATGTTTATTTTCGAGAAAGATATGCATTTAACGTTATTATGTGCTATAATTATTGTGTCGGTACTATCGCGGTCCTTTCATTGTATTTTCTTATCCTCTTGAAATGATCGTTCGTCATTGTTCACCTTTATGCAATTCATAAGAACAATGTTAGGTGTGTTATGTTTACTCAAATTCTCACATAAATTAAAGCATCGTATCATGTGTATACGCTCTAACTTGACTTTAATTCTGTATACATATATATGTATAATGCATTCAAAGTAAGCATTATAGGGAAACTGGTACCCTGCACACACATAAAAGACATTTTCAATTTCGTCCTCTGTGACGCTACAATGGCGAGAACAATATAAAACCAGCCAAGTCTTAAAATATATATGCTCACAATTAAGATTCGTTATTATATAAATACATGATACAAATACATCATACATATAAATACAGTACGCAAGCCGCAATTTACGATGCACCGGCGCAACCTAGCGGAGTTTGGCTAAACTACCGTCGACTCGATTAGTCGGTAACATGCTTACTTCTAGCAAAGGTATTACTCAACCTTTGAAAAATTATGAACATCATATATTAAATTTCGTAACTTTTCATATCTGTAATTAACTTCATTTAATCGTTAACGATTGAAGAATGAATAAAAACGAAAAATAAAAAATGAAAATGAAATTATACTCAAACGAAACGATCAACATAGCACGCCAAAATGTAACCTAGAAATTTCTGTACTTTATTTCGACAAATATTCAAAATATCCACCTATTGACCAAACTGTAGCCTTTGAACGTTCTTTGCACGAAAACATTTTCTCCACCCCGTATTTACTCAGAGATTTAATAAAAAGAATACCGATACATTTTTATCATATCGTTTATATTTTATAGCCTGTAAGGTATGAAACCTCTATTTCCAGATAATTTTCCAGACTTCTTCTCCATTTCGCGGGAGGTAAATCGAAAGTTCCACCGTTTCTAACGCATTTTTCAAATCCCAGAGGATTTCCCCGTATCTCGGGCCTTCCCGAAAGGACGAGTCTCTCGAGGAGGAGCGTCAGTCGTGACCGGCACTTTCCATCAACAAGCGATCTTGGAAAACTCAAGAATCACAAGCAGCCCACTATAAAGGAGACAAAACGGTGACAATTACGCGGTAAAATTCCTGGACGCGCATTCCTCGAGTCCCGGGGGTCCCGAGGGATCCGACAGTACCGCTCATAGGTACAGGGGTCGAGGTAATTTTGACGAATGCCAGAACTCGAAGCGAACAAAGAATGTTGGTTTAGCGGAGGAGTCGTGTTTGTTATTTCGATGAGGTATAATGGGATCTTGGGTGTTGATGCATAGCACGTAGCGGGGTGCCACGTCCAGAATCCCCTGAATATCCTTCGACCGGAGCTGGGAACCCCGCGGGATCCGTGGAGTCTTTTAGACCCCCGTAGACAGGGGCCTCGACGGGCCGCTACGCGTCCATCACGAGTCACGATTATGTATTTAGACATATCTCACAAGGAGTCGGTCCCTTCGCCGGAGTTCGTCCCTCTCTCTCTCGCTCTCGATCGCCGCCACTCGCTCCTTCTCGCTCGCTTTCGCGGGCTAAATGCCCTACCTGGCAGTCTTATCGGCCGGTGCCGAGCATATTTCAACATTAATTTCACAGATGATGATACATCGTCCGCATCGATGCCCGTATCAGCGTGCAGTCCCGTCGTCATTTTTTCTCGGAGCGACTTCGCTTACCGACGCCAGCTCCCCTGATTACCGATCGTTAATATCTCCATGTCGTACGCACCGTCGGTAGTCCGTGGATAAGCGGCCGTGGATAATCGAGTGACTGCGCCCAAGTCACCCACGAGGTCGGCTCGTCGATGCTTCTGTACATATGTACCGTTTCGTACATTCCTCAACGAGCCGCTCCGCGTACTTGTACGTGCGGGTTTACGTACTCTCGACGATTCGTAACTCTATTTATTGCAGGTATTCGTCATTAATAATACGCTGCTTTGGACCCATTATTATCAGACATAAAGCAAGGTGCACCTTCGCAAGGAAAATGAAACCGCATGAATCACTAATTAAAAACTGGACAAGAAATGGAGGAAAGATAATATGGAAATTTCATAACATGTGTTTCTCGTATGTGCAGGATGTTTATAAAAGAATATATACAGACGTGAATTATTCATTAGTCACGGTAACTTCTTGTTTTCTAGAGGTATGATTACTTGCTCGTTATAAAATTGTTAATGATCTTGAAACATAATTAGAAATCCTTAATGCGAATAGAGCGAAAATTTGTTAAAATACGAACTTTCGGTTATAAAATCATTAAGGTGAAAGAAGTTGAGGGAGAAAATTGAGAAAGTGGTTGAAGAATTACTATGTGAAATCTTAAAATATAACTTTAACGCTCGGTGAACGATAATGGCGAATTTATTTCCTACGACATTAGGTATAAAATATAGATTTTAGGAATTGTGCTAAAATATTTATACATACCAACAACAACTTTTACTTATATCGTAAAATCGTATCATATTTATAGATTTTAGAGAATGAGCACATGGGTACATATCGATCACGACTATTTCGTCAGATAAATCTAATAGGCGTAACATATATTACAATCTTATCATAAAGATAAGTGCTTTGACCTGATTATTACTTTGGCCAAAATAAAGCATAAAGTTACGTTTTAAAATGACACTTTTATATTATAAAAACACAGGTTGGTAGCTTTATGATTTCGCTCTTCTTATATCTATTAAAAACTTATGTAATTTTGGATTTAGCTGTAATACTTAACAGTTACGGTTCATGATTAACCCGACGTTATCGTTCGTCCACAATTTAGACAAATTTTTCTAGAACGATCGAATTAATTTTTACTTAACTATACCGTATGAGATTTTTACATAAATTAACCCATGGTATTGGCTATTTTTGAAGGCTTCACCATGAAATTAATAAATCCATCTACGTCATCGAGCTCCTTGGAATAAAACTTTACTGCTATGGTTGCACGACCATCTAACATGGGAACCATTGAAAACGCACACTTTGCTTCTGCATCGACTTCAACATTGTCCGACAGTTTTACCTTCAACTGTTCCTTCAATCCAGGCCCTTCGATAATAAATTTTCCTCTTCTTAGAGGTATTGGAAGTGGATTCAAAAATTTAGCAACTGCTTCCAATTTCTCGCCAACAATAGCTGGATTTTGAAGCTACCAAAATAAAAAATTGTATCATATTTTATTACTCGTTTTCACAAAAAAATTATGCGAAGTTGTAAAAGAAATGCGCGTTTGATTTAGAGACGCGTACTCTTTTCGTAAAGAACGAGATCTTTGTCGCTAAAGGAACGTGTACCAAATAATCAATGACATTCAAATTACCGTAATTTCGATGTCTGGTTTCCTTACACGGAAGTCATCCTGAGCGAAATATTCAAAATTTGTGTCTTTGACCGTGGCTAAGCAAGCAATATTGAAAGCACATTGATTCATTAATCTTGGTCCATATTCTTCCCATGTAATATCCAAACGAATTTCTTCAAGTACACCTGGCTTTACTAATCGTCGTTTTTCCGATTTTCTTATTGGATCTCCTACACGTCCAGTATACAAAACTGTTTCTACCCTCATTATCACAATTATCTGATACTCCTTATCCATACTTCGATTTTTGATCAGCATTACTACACTATAAATGTAAGTTTATGACGCCATTAATGTTTAAGAAAGTATATAAATCTTGAGTAGACACTTAAACTTGATTAACTTACCTAAAAGGTTGACCAATTAGGATGTCATCTCTAAGTTCAAAATTAAACATCACATCATTGAACTCTTCATTCAAGTAGTAACGGCTAAACAATGATTCGCTCTGCCGAAGAGCTTTCAACATGGCAGCCCGTTCTTCAATTGATTCTAGTGAATCGTAAGCGATATTATATACATTTAATTTCAATGTGTGAAGGAAACAATCTTACGTATGACAATTTATATGAACAGACAGTAAACTAAAATAGATAAATTAATTTCTGGCTCTTACTTTCAGGATATTTGTAGGTATGCGTAATGTCTTCCCGCTCCCATTTGCCAACTGCCTTCGTACTAATAAATTGACCAATTCTGTAAAATATATCCAACCAGTCTAATACTCTGAATACTGTGCGCCACTTGCAAATATATAGATATCTTTTAAATTTGAATACTAGACTGTGTCATCCCAATGAACACAAAGTAGTGGAGTAAACGTTGAAAAATGGTGTCAAACCGTTGACAATAATCGTATAAAATGTATTGGAAAAAAGCGTGTTTAACACGTTCTATCGTTTTCACGACAAATTTAACGTTAATATAACATCTATTCTGTTTATTAAAATATCGTTTTAGAGATGTAACATGAACGTCCTTTAAACGTGGTCTATACATGAAATAACTGTTCATAATCGTTTACTATACGTTCAAATAACGTTAAAACACTACGTTAAAGTACACGGTCTTCTCGACTAGGGATAAACGCATCGAAAACTTTACACGTAAAATCAACGTTTCTTATAAATGTATATTTAACGTAGAAAAAAAACTGTTCGTGTATAAAACGTGAATTACACTATTTTGTGTTTATTATACAGTCTATGAAAGGGATTCGCACGTACCCGTAGATATCCTTTCTGATTAGTTTCAAGGGTTGAGTAGGTCCGTTGTATCTCCAGAAAACTTTATCGGCATTAACTTCTGCGAACAGGAAAGCATTGTCGTATGGTCGTAAGACTTCGCCTTTCTTTACAGACGCAACAGATGCTGGACCGCAACGATATGCATCTTCACTCAGTTCTTGGGGAGTGGCATCTATTACTTGCCACCCGTCACATTCGATCGACAAATCTGGTCGCGTCATCCATACTTCGTTCCAGACGTGAAAATTCCTGAGGTAAAATGTAACGAAAGCAATAAAAGTTAGCTAATTAGGTACAAGGACGGAATATACATTATATCTATGAAAGAAGTCATAAAACTCGAAGATCCGAACGGTTCTACATCTAGTAGATGGATGCTCTTTCGTTAACGAGGGATGTGACATCATTATTGTCCAACTCATTGTCAAACTTTAATGAAGGCCATACAACATTATTCATGCAGTAAACTACAGAAGTTAATGCTGCCTTTCACTTTACCCTCGATAATACATATTAGCGGCATCGTTATTGAAAAAAGTCCACCTTAGCGCTTCTTTTTTGAATGTGCAGTTGAAGGCAAAGTAGTGAACTATACTACAAGGAAAAGCATCTGTACGCAATTCGTTGAAAAAAAAAATGGATTTAGTGCCATTACATTAATTATTCTGATACGGAGAATAATTTAATTATGGATATTCAAATTTCTACGTTAACTCATTCAATATCTACCGTTTAATTGTATTAGATACGATGAGTTTTCCTGAAAACCATGAAATAAAAATGAGTCTGCCTGTTTTGTAGCAAATCTGAGGTAGCTATCAATGTTTGACGGATGAACACCCACGTTGCACCTTCCGAGAGAGTCGGACACGCACGAAGAGATATGGTCATCCCAAGCGTATGATTATTGTCCCAACTCTGCAGTTATAAAACTATACCGGCGCATTCAGCGGTCACAAAGATCGGGCGTCTTAATTTTCTGGTGTGCAATAAGAGTCAATCCCCGACCCCCCATCCCTTCCATTAAAGGGCGAAAGCGGTGCCGTGCTCACCAGATGGAATCGCTGTTGAGTTCCTCCATTATCTTTCCTTCTGCATCGACGAAGTAGTCGACAGTAAGACTACTCTGGGTGTCATGGGCGCTGGAGTAATTCGTCACTACCCGACAAGGAATGCCAAGTGTACGACAAACAGTTGCCAAGACACCGGAAAACACCCAACACTGTCCATATTTAACCGGCTTCTTTGTCTTGTAGTATTCCTGTAAGATCTTCTGCGAGCCGAGCCACTTCGTAGGTGGAGTACCACCCTCGAAATCGTCAGACCAGTTGCCCATCACCGCGCCGTTGTCATCCGGAGAATTGACCTGTCAACGGTATCAACGTCAAATATCTTCCATTAGCAAGTCAGGTATGAATGACAAGAAGGTATGAATTTGTCAAATTTGATAGATCCTTATTTAGTTGAAGATAAAGACTCAATCAATGATCGTTAGACTATAATATAATGGTGTTGATAATATCGATAAGTGCCTTCTATTTATTATTTATTTCAAAATGTCGCGCAAGAAATGAAGTTCGTATCAGCGTGAAAGTCTAATCTCTTGGATTTGGAATACGTGGTGTAATATAATAAGAATAGGATGTGCAAGTGTTCAACTTAATAGTTTCAATTGAATCAATCGCGAGCATGTCTCACGTTAATTTCTGTTGATGATAGGTGAAAGATATTACATATTTTGTTCAGAGATATCTTGCTTTGGCTTCATGTGACTTTTATGGAACTTTATGTATTAACGAGTAGTATTGAGAATCAATATATTTTATTATTACCGCGGCGGAAAGAACACGACATATCACCACAGCATCGTTTCTGCCTGTAATCCTTGTCTTGCCAACTTCGATCATTAGATGAAGAGCGCAATCCAAAATGTCTTTTTCAAATTGCGAATACTTCCACACGGTTGGTCTCAAACGGTTGTAACTTCCTCGCCAAATTAAACCCGCTTCGGCCATTACATACTCCTGACGTTCATCTTCATTTGGAAGGTATACCATGTCTTCTGTATGTTTATACAAAAATTGACATATTAAAGAAACATTTTATTTTCACTTATTTCATTAAAAAAGGCATCTTTTGAGGGTGAAGTACACGTACCGTCACACCAGGGGTTGAAAATGACATAAAACGGATTTTGTACGGAGTAACTTACAGCTCCATCCGAGTGTCTTCTTCTAGTATCAATGTCCATTCTCCATTTTCCAATCATTGCATTTGCATCTGGAACAACCTATAATATTGATCGTTTAATCCCTTTTAGACGTATAAAATTCATTAAGAAAATATATTATGAATTAACATTTTTGTCTGTGGAGAAACGTATTTATCAAAGCAACAATTTTAATCAAACTACGTACCAGTGTCCACAACTTAAAGAATTTACTCGTTAGTTCATAAATTGTATTATACTAAATTGACATCGCATCTCGTTAAATTCAAGCAAAATTTGTTGAAAAACTGAAACACGTAGTGGTGGGTAAGTCCAAGACCAAGATCGAGATCATAGTAGTCTTGGTCTTCGCCTTAACCTTGCATTTATAATTAGGTTTTCGACTTGGTCTTGCCCTTGATCTTGTACTTTTTGCAAGACTGAGATTGATTTTGTTCGTCATTAAAATCACAATATAAAGTTTTTGTCTCTATCATTTGCTACCATATAGGTAAGAGCTATTTGCTGGTCCATAGAATTTTGTTATAAAATTATATTGAAATCAACTTGCTTTTATACGAATCATATCCTGATCTGCCCATTCGATCGTCGTTTGCCAGGATCCTTCAGACATTTCCCCGGGTCCAAGTACCGGGGATGCCACAAGAGTTCCATGACCGTACTGAGGTTTCTTTACTCCATCCAAAGTAAAGACTATTGAAATGCCATCGGTAGATGGCCTATATTCACGTGCCAGAGTAATGTTCAAGAAGAAGGCCTGACCTCTCCGTACCACCAATCTGCTGTTCTTCCCATTTCGGTTCATGAGCTCGTACCTGGAGGTTCGGTGAGCTTCGCCATTTTCTTTTATACAGGGGTCCACATGTACAACGGTCAATATCGGAGATCTGTGATCCTCCCCTAAGTGAACACGGTAATCAAACGTACAAATAGATTATTAAGATATGCCCAAAAACCCCCGAAAACCCGGAAGTTTCGATTACATTTAAATTCCATATGAATGTAGAGAGACTCGTAAGAAATTCACTCTGTTTACATTCACCAGAAAAGAGAAGCTTGATTCAACTTAGCAATTGTACCGTGATACAAAACGGCGCAACCAATTACATTTACACTAAGAGAAATAGTTCCGACAGGGAACACGTTTAGCGAGTTTATAAACCCAAAATATGTAACTTTGTTGATACTACCAGAGCCATGGAAATTGCAAACAAGATTCATTTGAATCACTTCGCGCTGCTTTCTATGATAATGTGTCAATGAAAGCGTGGCTACAATGTCGGCGCGACGTATGATTCACTTTCTTCTCTGGACTTCTATGAAAATTTCTTGTAAAGTAATGGCAAACAGAGAATTTCTCTCGAAGAGTCGCTCTACATACCTTTGAGGTCCAATCGAAACCGGATGGTCGATCACGCGATGTTTTCCGGCGACGCGCGTGGCGTCAGGTGAATCAAAGAATGGGAGAAAAGGATCTCGAAATGATACAATCATTCCGACCTGCAGTTTCGCGAGCACTTTGTGGTTCGGACCAACTTACTAGAGCGGAGGTAAAGCGTAATTAATCTTTGGCGGCGATATTCTTAAAGGTACCGATCTTTTACGAGCATTCGTCCCGGCACTCACAGTAGAATCTGAAGGGAAATCGGCGGAAGTGCATGTCGTTGAACATGCGGTAACGGTCGTAAAAGCTGTAATTCATCTTTGAAAAGCCGAGCGGCGCTTAGCACTCCTCGCAAGCGAACGAAGCACACTGCAACGTGGACGGATCATCTAAGGCCTTTTACGCGAGCTTAAACGCGACCGTAAGGTATGACGCCAACGACCAATGGATTAGCAAGAGTGCAGTGGGTTGTTACATTCTGGGAGAGAGCCCAAGGTCCCGCGGGTCCAAGTGGACGAGACCATAGAAGGCCCCACCTAGGTCACCTGCGTGCCCAACGGGAGCACCCGGAGTTACGCCGAGCCGATTGATGCATATTTTCCCAGGGGAACAATCGAATCGCAATTACGCACGTGTCCGCCTGGAATCACTTCCGAATAAAAAAGTGGAGTATTGCAGTTTCCGTTACATCACTGAGATACGGATCTAAAGAACTCCTAAGAACTCTGAACAGTTCCAGGTAAAGTGTGCATTGATCTGTTACGCACTGACATGGACGCGTGGGCTGCGGATCTTCATTTACATGTAAATGCGCTCGAAAACGAGTTTTCCGACGATTGATGTGCAAGGGACGATTTTATGGAAGGTAATTGATATTTATAGTTATTGAAGAGTTTCTGGAATTTAGGGCGAAATTATTTGACAGCGTGAATACGTGTTCGTGGGTCCATGCCGAGGTTCAAGGTATTTTTAAATATCGGCGCGAAGGGGGTGAGTTCTTCCTAGGATTGTGGAAAGCTCAAGTGCATGTTTGTACGGTATTCATTTGAAAATGTCTTGCTTTTAAATCACCAATTCCATGAACACGAAACAATCGTGACGTGATGAGTCTCTGCGGTGGTGATATTAATTTCCTACGTGTCGTATTTCAAGCTACTTTAGGATGCTTGGGATAAAATAGAAACGCTGTGTTCTCGATACTTGTACCTTTTCACACTTTACGATCGGTTGTGGTCCAGATTGGACGGGTTTCTTGTATATTTTGGACGTGGGCGCATGTTCACTGTGTGTAATGTGCTGATGTTTTCATGGTATGCTTTATCGATAACATATAGCATGTTTTTAAGATGTCGTTGCAACATGCACGTTATCTATAATAAGGTTCCTTGTCAACGTGAATTATTAATTCGAAAATCACCCCAATAGTCGGTTAATATATTTCCAAAGAAACAATCGAAACATTTTATGTATAAATCAATAAACGTCAATTCTTAGAAGATATATGGGTTATTATAATTCTTTCTTCATTATATTAGTGAGAATCTGAGATGAACCATAAATAATACTGGGTCGTTAATCATTCAATAACATGGTGTGAACAGATTCAATGTAGAATAGATTGCCAATTTCGACTTATATTCAAATATAATTAAATAAACCTTGCATAATCTTCGGGTGACCACATTAAAATAAATGCAAATGTTTTAGATATAAAATTGTTTTATAATACTTTTAACAGGAATTAAAAACAAATATTCAAACATCTAGAATATTCAGATTAATGTAACAATTATTGTTTCAAATTAGTTTGCAACGCTATACTTAGCGAGGTAATGTAGAGAGTACTAAAAGTCATAGGTGAAGCATACTTATTAAATATGATTTACGTGAGTTACATAACAGAATTTTTGTTTAAACTACTGTTATGCCACGTTGTTAGTCAACGATGTATACACTGACAAAAAGGATTAAATGAGTGAAAAAATATATATTGTTGACATAAATAATCTTGTCAGAAACATATATACTTGGAAGAAACACTTATATCATTGAACAAAAAACTGATGTAGTTCACTTAAACTAATGTATATTTCTGCCAATCGATTGCGTGATTACCTAAAATAAGAATCAGTTGAGTCATTTATCAATATTTTTGTTTCGATTTTCCGTTTCGTTAAGATCGTTAGATAGCACGCATCAATTTAAATTTTGTCGCAAGTGGTAAAGCCAGTAATTCGTTTGTATGTAAGTTTCGTTTCCGCGTTCAACATTTGAGTTATAATGCCATTCCAAATTATAGTTTTAGTACAATTCTCCTCAACATTGGTTCAACGTCGACCTTGTTATCTTGGGTTAACGTTAATCTTAATTTTTGTCAACCGTCAGAAAATATTGGCCGAATTAAAATAGATTGCCCGTAGAAAAAATCTGTTAACAGGTACCACTTCTCCTTCGTTTGATTCAATAAAATAATTTTGTTTCCTTTATTTCCTTGGACGCATTTGATCGCAGGATTTTTTTATCGTAATGTGTATTTCTTTGAGTCAAGTAACTCATTTCCTTAGTGTATAGATATTTATCGCAAACAAATGATATATGATGAGCAATTTTTTCCCAATACATTTATAAAACCAGATTAGAACTTGATTACATATTGAAAGTTCCTGATTATGTGACAAAGAACACATGACCTAATTAATAGTTGTATAAGGAAGGATACCATGGACCACTAATGATACCTCTCCATAAATAAAGCACAGTCTTCTTCGACCTCGGCATTACCGTAACGATTGCTTACAATCGATTTACCGATCATCGATTCTGCCATTCTCGGTAAAAAGTGATTGAAAAATCCAATCGATCCGACCTTTCTTGTAAGTGCACTAATTGAAAAGTTTCGTATTACAAAGAGCGGAGTTAAGTTCACTCCATTTTCGAAAGAAGCATCTGGCCTCGTTACTTGGAAGTGCATTTATATATTTTCTTCCAAGATCGACAGAGGTGGAACGAGAATTTTCTCGAGAACAGTCTAGTCTTTTCAGGATCGTTTTTATCGGAAATTTAGAGCGATCGCCTGATGACTTCGATACCATTTAGGGTAAAGTACGGATAGACGCCTGCGTTTTGGGAAGGGGTATTTACGTTAGAACAAACATTTCATTCTTACTTTTGATAACAAGAAATAATTTTAAGACAACATTAAAAACTTCGAAAAACCACCTTGAGGCCGGTGAGACTTCAGTGTAATACTCGACATGTACGTGACGTGTAATTCAATAATCCCCGTAATCTGTGCAATCTTCGTGGGACCACTTTCTGCAAGAAATCCCCTGGATCCGTACCAAAAATGCGATAGTTTAGGCATCTTCCCTTCATAGGCGACTATCCGGACCTTAAACTAGAGCGTCTATCCGTTTAGGTGCGGATAGATGCCTTCGTACATATCAGAATAAACGTTACAAAGAGAGGCTAGGAAAACGTCGGAGGTCTTTATTTGTTATATTTATGAAGTAAAAATGAGGTAAATATGTTACTTTACGTGTCCGTTTTCTATTTTTACAACAGTTGCTTCGAGTTCGGAAGAACTTTATGGGCAAATCCGATGCACTGATTTTTTTAGGCAATCATAACCTTACGCGCATGCATACTTCGGGGATGTTGGGTCGTAAGTGAAGTGCCGGGGGGAAGGGCTATGCGACCAGGGACGTCAAGTTGCTGAAAGTTCTTTTATCTCAAAGATCTGGGAAACGTGGCATCTATCCGTACTTTACCCTAAGTCTCGACGGCAGAGCGCCATCTTTAATGCTAAGTTACGTTAATCCAGCCATCGAGCTACTATCTTTAATGCTAATTTACGTTAACTTGACCATAAAATGGTGGATAATGAGCATTGCTTAATAATCCCCTAGTACCCTTCCACGACGGTACAAGGTTATAACTTTCCTTTTGCAGGCTTTGTCGATTTCTTCGCGAAATCAAATTTTCCATTGCACCACCCCGCTTCCTTTGTGCAGTTTTGCAAACGATGCATTATAAGAAGAATGACTCGCAAAATTTCTAGCTAAATCGTGCGTTTCTAAAATACGAGGGTGTTACAGCGAATCGCTATTGGCAAGCGGAGAAGCCACGTATATGAGTTACGCCTTCGTCACATTTGCATATGGTGACGGTATGCTAATGCTACGTTTGTGTGCTCCTCGCACGTTGCGTGGGTTTTTATTCCGAGAGTAACTGTGCCGTTTTTTTTTTCTCTTTTTTCATTTCAGACGTCGAAGATTCTTGAAGGACGCAAAGAAATATTAGAAAATGTGTCGATCGCTACCACTGTTCATTATGAGTAAAGGAAGAAGGCGCGACCGATTAGACCTTCGACCCCACCCATCAGGCCTCGTAAATCACTCAATCTCTTTGACGAATGATAGTCAGCCAGATCCATAATTGAATTTGTAAGAACTGTAGCTTCATTGGATTCTGAGTACCGTTAGCGACTTTTTTAAGAGCCGATACGAACGGTCAC